AGTGTAATTATTTTTTAGTGTTCAGTACCTGAACTCAACCACTGAGCTGAATGACCTCTCTCCACTTCCACCCTACAAAAGGCCTCTTGTTTAAAGGTTGTTCGTAGCCAGAATTCTGGTTTAACAGTTTTACAATCAGAGCTTCACAGCCTATTGGAGAGATAAAGAACCTTAGAGATAATCATTCAGTCTGTCATTTTACGGCTGAGGAACCTGGTCTTGGGTGGGGAACTGACTTGGCTAAGGCACGCAATGCACCCAACCTAACCCGGCCCAGTCCTTGCTCTGCCCACTTCCCTTATCTCAGCACTTGGTGCTGTTTTGTGCACTCTAATTGGACATTTCACATAAGCAAGGTCATGGTTTGGTTACTATTCAGAAGGTGCTATTTGTAGATAATCTCTCATATCACCAAAGTGATATCCAGACTTCAGTAAATTGCCCTTCCTTCGTTAAGAAAACCCATGCTGTTATAATAAGTTTATTTCAGAGCTACACATGCCATAAGAATATTGTTCTCTTGCAGCACTGTTTTAGCATGTTGGGCTCTTATAGAAGTGTTTATGCTGGCAGTGGTAAATTTCACCATCTTCCGGTTGGATCACATAAATCTACCCACATTTTGACACAAGAGAAACTAGGCCAAAGGGCACTCTTGTGCCAGGCCCCAAACTCACATACATCACTGCTCTCAGCAAATAGACTTGAAATTAATGAACCTAGAAATCCAGGATATCCAAAATAGGTCTGTGGATTTCAGTCCTTCTCCCTGAACACACATACACATGTGCACACACCTCAAGTAAGAATGCATATCTGGTGCCACAAACATATTTAATCCTTTCTAATCTGATTTCCCAAATATGAGTTCATTTTTAATCTAGTTAGGTGCCTATTGTGTACAAAGCACTGACCTACATGCCAGGGATACAAAAATTAACAGGCCCCCATCCCCTTGGAACTACCATTTGAGTTGTATTTTTTTGTCATGGGGATCAAACCCAGGGTCTCCTACATGTTAAGCAACTGCTCTACAACTGAGCTACATCCCCAGCCCTGCCCCCATTCTAGTTAGGAATCAACCAGAAATCTTTACAACCATCTAGGATGTAGAGTACAGCAGAATATTTCTCCAACCATTTTACCAGCAAGGAAACAAAATCAAAGTACTTAACAGGCCAAAAGGTCCCATGGCCCACTGTGGTCAGATCAGACTGGTGCCCAGTCTCCTTTACCCTTTGTGGACTCTTGTGTCTGTGGGTCAGCTGCGTCAGAATTTCCTGGAGTTCTTGTTTAAAATATGGAATTCCTGGCTTCAGGTAGCTGGAGAGACTAGGAGGTGGAGTGCTGAGGAATGGGAACATTAAACAAGTTGCTCAAGTGACTCTGATCAACAGTCAAGCTCTGTAGATCGTAGAGTATGCCCAGCTGTCGCTCATTCTCTACTCCCATTGTACATACAATTCGATGGAGCATTAAGACAAAATAAAGAATCCCTGGGCCCATTCCCACTGGTCTGTATTCCATTAATCTGGGTGGTACCCAGACAGTTACATAAGTTGAGAAGTTCCCCCAAATAATTCTAATGTGCAGTCAAAATTGGAAATCCATGGCCAATGTGAATAGGAACAAATACTATACCCCCCAAACAGGGTAACCCCTAAGTAAATCAACCCAACCTTCTGTCTATGAGAAGGTAGTGCAGGGCTCAGGAGAGGGGAAAATGAGGAGGAGCGAGGCTGGGTCCCCCTAGAACCCCAGAGCATTGGATCAGCGACTTCTTCCTCAAATCAACTGGGGAAAAAGCACCCAAACCCCAAAGGCCTCCCTGAATGTGTTCCAACTCTTTAGGTCCCTAAGGACTTGTCTTCACATCTCTCTGCTGAGCAAAGCCTAAATTGTGGACAAGTGAATCCTGTCATTGATTTGTTCTTAGCTGTGTAGGGTAAAGCTCAGAGCCAAATCTGAAGCTTGCTTTTAGAGCTACACAGTGCCTTATGGCATGGTATACATTTTATATGACTGTATATCTGGGCCACATCTTATTTTCCTTCCATAGTTTTTCTTTCTGTTTACCTCTTTTTTTTTTTTTTTTGCCAGACAAATGTTCTTTTCATTTATTCTGACATACTATAATAGAATAAGTAAAAGACATCAGTAATATGCTTTTTTTTTTTTTTTCCTTCTTGGGTCAGAGAATGAAAAAGAGCTCACAAATAAGATTGAGAGAGGAAGCCCATAGGCACAATCTTCAGAAATAGGCAGGGACGAATGCTTTGGAGATCATGTGACCTTTACACAGCCTGTGGAATTATGGTCTCTGAAGGGGAATCCATCTGCTTCTAGCTATTTCCCAAGGATTTTACGGAACCTCCTTTTATAGTCAAGCCCTTTAATGTTTTCATTAAACCAGACAGGCTGTTAAGTTTGTGGCAGTAGGAGTTACAATATCAAAGCCTGGCAGCTGCAATACTAGGTATGGTGACTATGACTCATCAAAAACAGAAAAAAAAAAGCTGGGAACAGAGCTCAGTGGTAGAGCACTTGCCTCCAATGTCTGAAGCCCTGGGTTCCATCCCCAGCACTGGGAGAAAAAATCCTTTTCTCCTCTCGCTCTCTCTCACACTCACAGCCATGTTCAATTCCAAGATGCTAACTAAATTTCTGTGATAGATATGCTATTTTTAAAAAAATACAAAAATGCATAGAAAATGCAGAATCCTAAGGATAATCTAGTCATTATTAAGTTTTTCTTAAGTCTTCACTTTAGATGTTGTTATTCCTGGTACATCCTTCTGTCAATTAAAAGTCAAGAGGTAAACTTGGGTGGGAAACTTCTCTGGTATCCCCGATAAAACTGCAAGGTCTTTCATGTGCTCAAACACTGGAATATTCACTTGCTACCATATCAGCAAGAAGCTAATCATTTTTAAAAATGTTTTAAACAAAGAACTTGCAAATCCCAGGGGCAGCTATTAATTTTTTAGCTTTGTTTATATGTATATTAATAAGAAATTTGCTTTTTAAAACTTTTTTTGGTAGTTGTGTATGGACAGAATTCTTTTATTTGTTTATTTTCATGTGGTGCTAAGGATGAACCCAGTGCCTCACACATGCTAGGCAAGCACTCTGCCACTGAGCTACAGCCCCAGCCCTCAAATTTGCTTTTTGAAATCAGGGAAAATATAGAAAGAAACATTAATAAAGTAATAAGCGATTCCATTCAGAACCCTAAGACAGGTTTTTGTAAGTGGATGAAAATTCTTTCTTTTTCAAATCTACAGGGCCATCTCAACTGTTGGTTCTGATAGGGGACAGATAGATGCAAATGGTGGGAACCCAAGCTTAAGGGAATAATTCTATCTAATGGACCCACTGTACTAATGTTCAAGAAGCAATTTACCTGCAGCCCTGCCTGGCTTAAGTAGACAGGATATGTCACATTCCTCAGCAAACCACCTGTTATCTGCAGGAGAAATATAGGTCCAAAATAATGTCAATAAGAGGAAACCAATTTATCCTGAAGGGGGAGACTTTTGTGAACTTTTTCACAAACCAAATCCCAAATCCCTTTTTCACAGACCAGACCCATTTATTTATGGAGAAAAGGATAATTCCTCCTAACCACAAAATTTGTAAGAATTTATAGTTAATAATCTAACTAGAACGCAGTAGGGACTTGAAAGTCTGATGTCATCCTTCTGTCAATTAAAAGTCAAGAGGTAAACTTGGGTGGGAAACTTCTCTGGTATCCCCGATAAAACTGGAATGCAGGAAGGGCATGCCATCCCTCTTCTCTCTGAAAGGACTCACTCTCTCCCTTGAGAGTATCCCCTTTCCCTGTCCTATCCCTTCAGTAAACTCATGCCTGTTACTCTAAGCAACATGTCTAAAGTCTTTCTGACTTGATCACAAGAATTAGGATTTGAAGAATGAATGGTTTTCATGCTGCTTTGGTTTCTGGGAAGACCCCAGGTCTATAACAGTTCTTCCCACTGCGGTAGGGAGAAAATATCCTTTTTCTCTACTCTCTCAGGTTCACTGGACTGGGACCTAACAATTAAACTGATAGAAGACAAATTAACAGGGGAAAAGGCATCCATATGGATGTTAATATCATTACATACATGGCAGTTCCACAGAGAAGTGAAAACCCAAGGAAGCAGTTAGATTTGGGGGCTGTTAGATTTCCTCTTGCCCTGTGGCTGAGCTTACAGAAGCCTGGCATTTTAGTGTTGAGCTTCCAGAATAGCCATGTGTATTCTAGAAGGTACCATGCTCCACTGGTTAAGAAACGCTTCACCTAGATTGGGTGCAAAGGATTCTGTGCTCCACATTGTATGTGTTCCCAGGTGTGGCTCAGCCTAGAGGAACAAAGGCCAGGAGAATTAAAATGGGAATTCAGCAGGTGGGAGTTAGAGGCCCTGGAAAGGGTCCTGAACACTGCCCCATGCCCACCTTCCCAATCCCATACCCACCAGTACTTCAAAAAGTGGCCTCAAACCTGAGGGTGCATAGGAATCACTAGAAAAGCTTATGAAAGAGACAATTCAGAGATTCAGATTTAGTAAACTAGGATGACCAGCAATTTGCATTTTAATAGGCTCTTAAGAGGTGACCCTACTGCTGATCAGGGGCCCTAATCAAGAAGCTCAATCCTAGGGTTACCACTGTTCATCCTCCAGGGGAACAGGAGTGTAGTGATGGGAGCAAGGAGCTGTAGTGATGAAGTTTCACTGGGAATGGGTGGGAAGAGAGGAGACCATGCTTATGTCTGTTGTGTAGGTGCTAGAAAGAACACAGCTGAAGTTTTCCATAAACTATGTTAGTTAGGATTCTGGCTGGAAACAGATGGTGCCTTTTTAGAGGGGGTAAGAAAGGAGTCTCAATAAAGGGACTGTTTACAAAGGTGTGGGCAGAATGCAGGGAAACCAGCAAGAGATGATGAATCATTTGGGGCTAGCAACAGTAGGAGCCTATTATCACCTCTGGGCCTACAGGGACTCAAGATGGAGCAGATTACAAGAATACCAAGATGATAGCTGTAGTTCCAGAGAAGCAGCACAATAGGAGTTGATGGCTTTTGGTGGCTGGATGGAGGTAAGCTCATGTCGACTTATTATATAGAATATTCCTGGGCAATAAGTACAGTTAATTCTCATTCTTTACAGTAGTTGTGTTTTATCAAGTCATTGTAAACACTGAATTATTGAATACTGAAACATTGTCTTATGGGAAACACATGATTAGATTCCTGTGATTTTCTGGCCTCATTGATATATAACCTATCAATATATAACTTTTGTTTCATATGTTTTTATGCTTTAAGATTCTTTGATATATATTATCAAGTAACTAACTTTGAGTTCCTGTCCCCCACACTATAATGCATGCCTAAATGTAGTTTATCTAACACACATATCTTCTATGTGGGCACACCATGGCCCTCTTGGATTTAGAAACTCTGGACAGCACTTCAGAAACCAGTACTACCCTTGGGGGCCATTTTAAACGTTAAAATCACCAATGAAAAGCACAAAATGTGGCAGTAAGTAGATCTTAGAGTAATTCTTTGCAAAATGAGAGCTTAAACAAGAAAGCAGAGTGTTGGCTGTTCAGTCTCAGCTGGGAACATGCCCATTAGATGACTCCAATTTTTCAGGGCTATGTGCATGTCCATCCGCAAAGCACCCTGAGTAGCACTGATTTTAGGATTACTAAAATTTTAATAAGTGGGCAAATTCACAAATACAGAATCCACAAATGATGAAGATCAACTATTCCTAGACTTCACTCTTCTCCCTCCCTGGTAATCTACTGGTGCCTCCTATTGACTGAATCCAACCAGAGAGCATAAAAGCCTGTTGGTGCAGACTGATAAAGGTCAACTTCCTGAGCACTGAGCAGATGGTCAAGAGTAGAGTGGAGATCTAGAAAATATTTGGCATTTGGCATATCCTCCCCTGTTATTTGTAGAATAGACTGAGATGCCTAAGGGATCTGCCCATTTTAAAAGACATTCATTCATTTACCAGCATTTACTGAGCACCTAGGCCTACAGCATGTACCATGATGTATGTGGTAAGAAAGGTCTAAAAAGGCTAGAAGACACAGTCCCTATTTTCTAGGAACTCAGGGTCCAGAAAGGACAGCTAATAGTCAACAGACAGATGTTTAGCACCTCCTACATCCTGGACTGTTTTGGGTGCCCAGGATACAGCAGGACCCAACATAAAGCTTTGCTGTGGCAGCAGGTACAGCCCAGAGGAGAAGTGATGTGTAAAGAGTTCACTGCAGGATAAGTGCTCTCATTGGAGCATCTACTTGTCAGAATAATTTTAGCATAGAAGGTGACTTTGGGTTGTTCAATGAGTATATCCTGGAGGCAAGAAAGTGTGTATTCAAAGCCAGTGCCTGCAGCTCAGATTAGGGGAAGAATGGTGAGAGATGAGGTCCCATCTAGGCACAAATGTGATTATATTAAAAGTCCCAATGCTGAAAAGTACCAAAGAGAAGGACAGATAGAGCACTTTAGGAGCTCACAGGATGGTTAGATTATATTGAACCAACCATATATAGATGAGCAAGATTTGGCCATGCAGAGAGAGAGAGGATCCAGATAGGATATTCTAGAGCTCCTGGAAAATATAGAATCTGGCAAAAAAGCACAACTGAAACTTAAATCTACTACCTCTGACTCTCAGCCATATCTTCTCTCTGTGCTTTTTCCATTTTGCTTCTTCCTTTCCTTTTCCTTACTAGTAAAATGGAAGTGCCTTTGAAATAGGATTATTTTCTGTCCTGAAGAGGACTAAATAGAATTCTCTCCTTGGCAAAGATAGTTTGTCCATTCATCTGTTCGTTCATTTCTCTCTCTCTCTTTCTTTCTTTTCTTGGTTATACCTGGGTTTAAACTCAGAGGTACTCTACCATAGCCCTGGCCCTTTTTAATTTTTTTGTTTTGAGACAGGATCTCACTAAGTTGCCCAGGATGGCCTCAAAGCTATGATCCTCCTGCCTCAGCCTTCTGAGTCACTGGGATTATAGGCATGAGCCACTGCACCCAGCTGGTCCACAATTTAAAAAAAAAAATGTTAATATAGACACTTTCGACTTCTGGGATAATATTAATGGTGGTAGCTTTCTGTGTGCATGGATGCAGGCAAATGTCCATGAGCAAAGAGCCATGAGCAATGTCCCCAAAGTGAAGGTCTTCTTCATGTTCCGATTCAAGGCTGTTATATGTGTGGCACTAGCCTCTGCCCTAGGGGAAGGAGAATGAGGGGCTCTAAACTTGAGATGTTAGGTAAGAGGAATAGAAAACCAGTTTACCTGAGGCACTGATTTTGCTTGGCACATGCAACAGGAAGGGAACATCCTAATATCAGGACATGGGAATCCCACATAACACTGAACGGTATTGCATTCCCTCCTTATGCAGGGCTGTGAGCAATCCTAGGATGGAATCATGCAGAGAGGACAGACAGTGTGATGAAGGCCATGTCAGGCACCAACTTAAGAAGCAAGAAATATCATTTTTTAGTTTCTCAATTCAATTTCTATCTCAAATGCCCAGTTCCCAGAGGTACTGGGAATAAACCTTATTAAACAGGGGCTCAGGCCCTGCCACCATGTCTTTGCCAATTGCTGCTCAGGTGCTTGGGTTCTTGCCTTCCTGACACCTTCAGTATTTCTACTCCTTGTCTGCCATGCGGTGGGACCCAGGAGTCCTGCTTTCTTGTGCCTCTGGGGAATTATTGAATGCACCTGAACTACCTCCATGGTGGTCCCCTCTTAGAGGTTTTGCCCAGGTCCCTGTCTAGAATCAACCCACTTCCCTTCTGTCATTCACACTCCCCTCCTCGCACTCACACCTGTTTTGGGTCAGGGAATCTTTTTCTAGTTGGCTCCTGCTATGGTTGAATGTTTGTCCCTTTCTAAACTTACATTAAAGCCAGTTGAGGTGGTACACTTCTGTAGTCCCAGTTACTTTGAAGACTGAAGCAGGAGGATCTCTTGAGCCCAGGAGTTGGAGACTAGCCTGGGCAACAAAATGAGATCCTATCTCAAAGAAACAACAAAACTTCAGCTGGAATTTAATTGTTATTATAATAGTATTAAGAGGTAGAACTGTTAAGCGGTACTTAAACATTTAAGGCTTCACTCTCATGAATGAATTAATGCCTTTACCACAGGAGTGAGTTCTTTGTCAGAGGGAGAATTTGGTGCCTTCTCTCTCCCCCCACTTGTTTTCACACCCTCTCTTACCCCTAGTATTCTGCCACCCTGATGACAGAGCAAGAAGGCCCTCACCAGATGGCAGCACCTCAGTAATGGACTTAAGCTCAGAACTGTGAGCCAATAAATTTATGGCCACCATAATTATAGTCTGTGGTATCCTATGATAGCAGCACAAACCAAACCAAAACCCTGGCTTAGTAAAAAGCTGTGCTTTCTGTCAATATGATTTTGCATTTCCTGCGAGGCAACAAATACACAATGGCTGTGTGTGTGTGTGTGTGTGTGTGTGTGTAAAATCCAAAAAGCAAAGCATTGGGGAAGGAAAAAAATGGGTTAATAACTTAATAGCGTTTTCCCAGGATGTCATCGTTGTCCTTAGGCTGTGCTGGATTTGGGGAAACAGATTCTAGCATTTTTCTACTCAAAATATATGGTGGAATATATGAAGGCTGTGTCAGGCACCAACTTAAGAAGCAAGAAATGTCATTTTTTAGTTTCTCAATTCAATTTGTATTTCAAATGCCCAGTTCCCAGGGGTACTGGGAATAAACCTTATTAAACAGGGGCTCAGGCCCTGCCCCATGTCTTTGCCAATTGCTGCTCAGGTGCTTGGGTTCTGCTTTGGGGAAACAGATTCTAGCATTTTTCTACTCAAGGTATATGGTGGAGTTTTCAAAATCATACTTGCTGATTTTTACTTTTGGTAAAATCCGTTTTCCATTTTCACTCCTTATTTTCAGAATAACTTTTAATGAGGAGGAAGCGGGAGCCACTTATGTCAGTTTGATTAAAAGTCTATTTGTCTAGTTCCTGAGAGGGCACTAAAAACAAGTTCTTTCCCCACGGAAGTGGACAGTTGGGAGCCTCAAGCACATAGAACAGGCTCTGAGACCTTATGAGAGAAGGTGGGGGGAGGTGCTGAGCCAGTGAGCAGCCAACCATTCTCCTCTCCCCAAAGCCACAGAGCTCATGCTGACCTTGGAGAAAGGATGAAGGTCCTTCCTGGTCTGCCTAGCAGAAAAGCAGCCCAGGTCAAAGGATCTCAGGAGGAGCAATAGCAGTGGCAGGGGAGGAACACTGCATCTTCTACTCTGTGGCCATTCTGGGGAGAAAGACCCTGGTACCTCTCTTTTTTATGGGTTGGATGTCATTCTTCCCCTTATCAGAAGTGACCAAATGTTCAGGGATTGCCCACAGAGACACAGGCCAATCACCAATCCTTTAAAAATGTAGAGTTAGTTAAAAAACAAACAAACAAACAAACAAAAAAACAGACTTTTTATTTCATACTTAACTTTGACACCTAAAGCCAACTTCTTGTATTATAATCAAGGAGTGATTAATCATTAGGGCCCACATCTTTAACTTTTTCAGGGCACAGACTGACCAAAGCAAGTTCTCATTATTAAGGGTGTTTCCTTATTTGGGGCCATGGGAGGGGCTCAGGCCCTCTAAAGTGTGACATTCCAGGGCCTCATCCCTCCCTCCCCCAAGATATTGTGTGACAATTCAATGAAATGCAGTAGGGGAAAGCCAAAATCTGATTAGCTTTCTTAAATATGAGTCAGTAAAGAAGAGTTTTGTCTAGAAGAGAAAGAGACTCAAACATCTGTTTCTGGTAGCACAGCGATTCTGAGAAAACTTCTTTTGAGCCAATTTTTGCTCTGAGTTAAAAATCCCAGATCCTGGGACAGTGGAAGTATCCTTATGGTAGTGAGAAACTCAGTCCTCAGTGAGAGAGCCACCACCCCATTGTCTTAGACTAATACCAGTTTAAAGGTCTTAGTAGAAATGGAATGGTAGAAATGTCACCTTTCTGGCACCAGGCAGCTCAGTGACTTTGCACTTCACTGCAGGCT